ACTACAGTGAGCTGTTTAATAGGCTTCGTGCAGGTATTGACTCCATGGCCGTACATCTGGCATTTAAAGCATCTCATAGGATTTGGGATACAGGTGACAGATGCGACATTGCAGTAACCCACCTTGATTGATTTTGGAGCTGTAGGAGAGGAGAACGAAAATAGGTAGGTGTTTGTTTGAGTTGTTTCATTGTTTCTGCGGGTTGTAAATTGGTTTACATTGATAACTCTTTGATCTTTCAAATTCACTCATATCAGCCAACAATCGATCACGGTCTCTCACAATGCCTTTACTGGTGTTCATTTCTGCTGCCATCAGATTTGTAGCTTGCTGTTTTCTATTGCATTCAATCAATAGAGAGTCTGAACGCATGCGTTTAATGTTTTTAACATCACCTGCTATGCCATATATTCCCTTAGAAATGACAAAGATCTGAGTTAGTTACTGGCTGTAACCTCAAAGGGGGTTGACGTAGTGTAAAATTATTGTCCCCCTTAGAGGATATAGTAAGTCCATGTCATTCAAAGAATAGTTCTGACTACTACTCCTTTAAACGTAGTATATTTGTAATTTTAATTGTGGCTAACTTTGCGTACAATCGCTAGTTGCTGAAGGGATGATGTAAATCCTGATGGGTTCCATGCAGGAAGCTAAAGTACTGTGAGTCCCCATGGTCCCAAGTATGGTGATCTACCTTCAGTTGCTGGCGATCTACAGCCCGTTTTTATACTGTGATGTTATGTTTAGTGCTATCAATTTTATGATTCCATACTAGTTTTAAATCTACTTCTGTGATAAGTCTAGCCATCCTTCGTTGGCAGGTTTTCATATAAGTTTCAAGATATGTACAGTAAACTACGGTTATAACGAACTCCAAGGGACCTCTAATTTTAGTTCGTTATAACCGTAGTTCGTTATAAGCATATATACAGCATAACTACAGCCAATAGTCGGGACCAAAAAAGTAAGTTCGTTATATCCGTCTGTTCGTTATAAGCGTGTTCGTTATAACCGTAGTTTACTGTAATATGTTTAACTACTGATAGTCACGCTCGATATGGCTGAAATATTGCCAAAGTGACTTACATTTTAACCCACTCACTCAAATACCACGATGTGCCAACTGATATTGTCATTATGTTGACAAAACAGCCTGATTGTTAACATCTATCAGTTGCGACGTATTATATGATTGCTTTGTATAACATTGGGTCAGTTTTAATGTTTTGGGTTGCATACTGTTCACTTTGATTGGTACTGGATTCTTCTTTGAGCAATAACCAGCGTATCTCAGTCGTAGTTTGTTGACTTTGCAAACGATATTAAGCGGAGTTCAACTTGCTCTTGATATTGTTAATAAGCGAAAATCCACCATGATGGCTATTCACATCCAATGTATACCGTGCAATTAAACCGACAGCTCAGCACAAATCGATTTCAACACTTTTAAGTGATTATAATATAGAAGTCACCACGAGTGCAATCACCTCCGCTATGTGCATTTGACCATAATGTCTACTCGCATACCCAGCACTGCGCCAGGAACGTACCAGACGTCTCAGCCGCTTACCTGTCAATATCATTGCAAGGAGAGTACGTACTCCCGCTAACAGTGTGTGTGGCAGGCTCAAGTCTTTGTACATATGTACATAACTTTTAGTTAAGATTTATTAGTTAGTAGTTCGGTTATATGGCCTTGTTACCATTTTAACTTATTAGTTTATTACGATATTTACATTATAAGAATATATAATTAGTTATGTTTTATACCTTAGTATTTTATACCTTAAACATTCATTTCATAGCTCTGTAACATTAAGTAAGCTTACTCTCAGCCTGACTTCCACTTATTGTCACACTGCATGCTTTTGACTTTCAGCACTCTTTGCCCCAGCGCGCCCCGGCCCAGTCTATTGTCTTGTTGATAGGCCAAGCTGGCCATACATGTAGCTACAGCAATGTTTAGATGTTGAATTTTACAAAATCAGTTGCTACTTTCATCTCACAAGTAAAGAGCATATACTTGGCGAGATTTATTGCCCTACTGAGTCCGTTTCTCATCATGTGAGGATTTGCATATGTGAAGGCATTTATTCATACTTAAGGCTGGTTGATCATTTATTTTATGATGTTGTATATATGGATGGTTTCTAATTATTGCGATTAGAAATAATATATATTGTAGAATAAATTGTTAATTTGATTTATTAGAAACAAAATGTATCTTGTATGTATTGATAGTTCTTGATGAACTCACGGTTCAGTGAGTTATTATCATCAGTATAATTAGATAGTATTAAAACTCAAAACCTAGATATGTATAAACTAAGCATTATATGTTAAACCCCTCTGTACAGTAATGAAAAGTAAATGTATGTCTGTATGATTGATTGATATGTCTTGGTAAGTGCAGGTGTATAAGTGTTGTATGTCTGATATAAGTGGCTGTTGTACTATATATTTTTTATACATTATTTTACCATAGGATATCACTTGTATATAGTATTCTGCATATGTATTTCTTTATTATGCAGATTTGTCAGTGGAACCGTTCGCCGTGTAATCATTGTTACCGGTATTACCAGTACAGATCTCACCTATCAGGTATGTAATGTCATCTTAGATATTGTATAAATATTCTATCTTTCATGATTTATAATTCTTACCAAAGTTACATACAGTATGCTCATTATCACTTTATTAACATATTAATATATTTTGTATCTCTGTAGTGATGTATTGATGTATTGTACAGATACTGTACCTCATCTAGTACTGCACGTAAGTGCTATTTATTTAATGAAAGTGATATCTATATTTCAGAAATTTAAAGAGTAACTATAACAGATTGTAGATATTTATTAGATTCTATGTTAAATTTGCTTATGTTGTGCTTTCATTGTTTCAGGCTGAAGTAAGTACGTACGTACATTCGTACCTTCCAATATAAATAAACGTCATCAGCCTCACCCCCACAGCTGTTTGTGATTATTTGGCCAGTAAATCGCCTTCTCTACTATCGGCCAACTCAAGCACACTTACATGTGGAGTACTAATTAAACATTCCAGTAATGTTACACGCCACGATATCAGTTTTATTTGAAACTTGCTAATAATATTGATCGACTTAAAAACAGTGCATTTTGCACATACAGAACAATTATTGTTTCGCAGTGAAATGAAACATGAAATCTTAAGTTTTCTAATCACCTTTTATTATCCCACAATTATATATTTAAATACAGAACAATTGAAGGTAAACAACTCCACGAATGTAGTAGTATTTCCTTTTTTAAGTCAGTCCCAATATGACTGGAGGTTAAACTATACCCAACGATGTCATACCGGCTATGATGACCATCGTCAGTCTAATCATGTTTTCTAACGTCTAGCCACCATTATGATTGATGCTAGACTCCTTTAAAGATTAATCAACATGCTTTTATAACAAAAAAATTAAGGAAAAGCACGTGCATTTCAGCGTTCTTTCCGATAAGCTGATGCGTTTGCGACAGTTCATATCCCGAAAACAAAAATTATAACAAACAGTCACTGCACAGTGTTCCTGAATGTGCACTGTCAACGTCAATCCGCGAAGTAAATGACATTATTGTTGTTTTTTAACTACAAAACCGACAATCCATAAACAGTTCTTCTAACAATACATAGCAATTATCCCCCTTTACCAACATATACAAAGAAACTCAGTGATCAACTAAACCACTGCATTATGCACATACATAATAATCATAATCATAATAATAATAAACGAATACATAACAATTATATCCCTTTACCAATGTATTCAAAGAAAAACAATTTTGGAAATATCATGTTTACAAATTTGTAAATTTTTGGATATAACATCTGTCCAAAATTGAATATTTTTGGATATATCATCTATCCAAAGCATATACAAGCTTGTATATCTGGAATTTTTGTGGCAGTGCGTGCATCCTAGTCACAAGTACAAACCAGTCCTAATAAAGCAGCCCAATATAAATATATGATTAATTTATAGAAAATGTTTCTAATCCTTTATCCTTTCTATTTATTGATATAGGCTCATACTAACTTTGAATGAAAACTACTTTTTTTGTAGGTCAGGTGTATTTGTTATGAAAAAAATCAATATTGTCATTTTGATATTCCCCAAACACGAAGTCTGGCATTGGATCATAATCAAACATCTCAAAGTCACGCTCAAAAATCTTCCTCAGTTTGACCTTAGCATGATAGGTAAGTGAGCCATATGCCTGTCTCAGTGCTCTATTTCTCCCTTCATGTAGAATGCTAGGCTCTGACGCATTGTATGCTTTTTGTGCTAACTCATTGAAACGTTCAAATGTAATTTTGGTGTCATTTGCTTGGAAAGGAAATGGAATCTCTTTTGATATCATCCCTGAATCTGACATGTTTTCCAGTGCGCCCGGAGTCCTTCAATAAATGACACCCCACATTGTTCCATTTCGACCCGTCTTGAAAAAAACACAAGACGTGTACTGGAGGAAATCATTGCAGACTTACCATGGAAACCATATTTTAGTATAGCTTCCCTCGTAGTCTTATAGTCAAGCATACCCATAGCGTCACTCACAAACACCATGTCATCTCGAAATGTCTCCAGCTTCCCTATGTACGTATATTCAGTCTCACAGAACTTACAATGTTCACTGATTGGCATAAAATGGGGATCAATATTTTGTTTGTGGTCATGCTGGTAAATAAAGTAATTCACGAACTCGGCAAAACTTAAGTCATGTCCACAACGTAAGCTTCCAGTTCTGGAAGCGTTGCCCCGCACCACCATCAGGGCAGGCTTTCCCACACTCTTCCAATAATATGGATTGATACAGTACATTTTATCAACATATCCTGAAAATAATCTTGTGTATGGATTTCTAACGAACGCGATCATTGTGCTAGATTTTCTCAGTTGTGAGCTGGATCCAATGGAAATATCGTTATTGGTTCTCATTCTCTTTGATCCATCTGGAGACGGTGTATACCCAAACCGGTTGCAGGTGTCTTTCAGAAGTTTTCTCCTCTGAGCAAATCTGCTTTCAAGTTGCACTTTCATCTGAGGGCTTTGTTGCAGCGGTGACATGAGGTTTCTCTGGGCCTATAAACAAACATAAACATTATATAATTAAAGAACATGTACATGTTTGCTGCATATGTATATTGTCAATACATACATACATACATACATACATACATACATACATACATACATACATACATACATACATACATACATACATACATACATACATACATATAATAGACATATAACGGCAGTTCCTAGCTATTAAATGGCGGTCTTTCAAGTATCGAGTCTGTCCCAGACAAACCGATAATAGATATCATGAGCAACGTGGCACGCTATCAGGCATGCTATCAACCGAACCTTAATAGCATTACATACATTAAAAGAAATGTATGTTTACTGACCTGAACTTCGAATAAGACAGACCAGTGAAACCCCTCAACTTTCTGAAGGTCAACTTTTCCTTTTAGTCGAGCAATATTCCAACAGCTACAGCCTTTGGTGTCTACATTTCACAACATTTGAGTCACCCCTCGCATGTGGATATGTAGAATGAGAATAGCGAGATTCCAGAAATCTGCTATCGTTTCCAAAATCGGAACATTGTTTTTATGATACTTGTATTTGAAAGCAAAATCTGCAATCCTTCATAACCACCCAGGTCTATGAACATGTTTGGGGGATGCGTTTCTTTTTTTGAAGAGTGTTTGGTGTTTGTATATGCATCTAACGTATCACACATCCGACATCACACACTATATCATGAGCATGTGTTTATGGACACCAGGTGTTCGGCAAGAGGAGAGCGTGTCCTGCCCCACCGGATGCACCCGTCACACACACACACACATTCAAAGGCAACTGTTCATTTGAACAGAACTTTCAAACATATTGTACATATTGTATCAAAATAGGGAATTGCATCGGACATCATGTTTGTGACTGATGTGTATCAAATGTGGAAGCGTCCTCCACATGAGACCTTGAGTGTTGAAACCTTGATGAAACACCTCTTGAACAGGAGTTGTATGATATTCTTTTAAATCTTCTCAGCAAATGGATGTTTGACTGAACCTCAAAAGTTGTGAAATGTAGTCGACACCAAAGGCTGGAGCTGCTTGAATATTGTTTGACATAAAGGGAAAGTTGACCATTGGCATATTGAAGTCATCACTCTTGCCATACAGTATTGAGGAGAGTTTGTGTCACTTTGAATCTTCACAAACTCAGCAATAGACAAAATCGACCATGGTCCGATCTCAGCTAGTGCTCAGACATCATTTCAAGGGACTGTAAATTCTTTGATTCAGCATCCAGATCTTCTCAATTTTGGAGTTAAACAAGCATGTTCTCAGACATTGACAGTGTTAAACAGCAAGACACGACCAAACAGGTACACCTTAGTACCACCTGTTGTTGCAATCAGGGCCATTGTACCAATGTCTGACAGTACAGGACATGGATCAGCCTTTGCCAAGCCTGACTTTGTCATGAGTCTTTCACAGGTTTGACAGCATTTCCACCTTGCCATTTGACTGCGAATATCTCCATGGTGATATTTGGTGAACAAAGTCACAGCTGCCAGCAAACGGTTCAAAAGCACCTGAGTTTAATGGCGTATCATTATAGGCCATCATGCAATCTGGTATTCAATGTCTTGCACATTGGACTTTGAGATTCTCAATAACCTCAGCATGCTTGCCATGTAGGCAATCAACTTCAAAGTAGTCAGAAACATACATGTTGTTCACTTTGATGAGATAGACCCACTGTTCAAATTCAGACATATCAAAGTCAATTTTCTTCCACGGACGACATGGGATTCGCAGCCAATCAGCGGTTCCTTGCTTTGACAGAAATCTCACATATGCGCATACATTCTCGAAAATCAATATGGCTGGAATGTATCCTCTCAATAATATCGTTTTGTATACTCTTTGGTATGACCGGACGGCCTCTTGGTCGAGTGGTAGAGAGTCTGCCCGGAGACCTGAAGGTCCGGGGTTCGATCCCCGCCCGCGTGCGTCATACCAAAAGTTGGTACTTGTTGTTACTCTGTCTGGCGCTCGACATTAAGGGGCTAAAACAAGGACTGGTCGGCTCGGAGTCAGCATATTGTGTCTGAGTGAGGTATTCATGTTAAACTGCGGCATTGTATCTCAGTGGGCTAGCACTAAAAATCGGCATGAGTCCGGACTAGTACAAGCAGCCATACACACACACACGTGCATGCACGTCATTATATAAGTGCAATAATCTTGGACGTGACGTCAAACTCCATTTCACCTTACCCCACCTTTGGTATGACCACACGTTCACCCCTGATGATGATGTTATTCTGCACAAACAGTTTTCAGTGCCAGCATGCCGACACCTGAATAATCTGCTTCCTGTATCTCTGAAAACCTCTTCTCAGAGATTGAAACTTACTCTGGCATTTGGATGGATTTGTACAATCGACTGTATGCAGAGATTTCTATTGGATATGGAAAGAACACGTCCCATTTTAATTCTGGAAACCTATGTGTCATGACACATGATTCGACTCATTTTAACTTAATTCAACTAATTTGTGGCGTTATTAAAATATTTCGCCCATTGGCGAGAACATTTTCCTTTGCTCAAAACTCGTGTTTTTCTTAAACAAATACATAAAGGTTTGTCTACAAGCATCATGACACATGATTAAACGCATTTTAACTCAATTCAACTAATTTGTGGCGTTATTAAAATTTTGCGCTCATGGGCGAAAGGGTTGGGCCCATGCACGAGAATATTGTTCTTTGCTCAAAACTCATGTTTTTCTTTGGCAAATACATAGAGGTTTGTCTATTAGCATCATGACACATGATTCAACTCATTTTAACTTAATCCAACTAATTTGTGGCGTTATTAAAATATTTCGCTGGGCAGGCCCATGGACGACATAGTTTAAATTTTAAGTTTACGAGGTAGCCTAGTGGTTAAAGTGTTCGCTCGCCACGGCGAAGACCCAGGTTCGATTCCCGACATGGGTACAATGTGTGAAGCCCATTTCTGGTGTCCCCCGCCGTGATATTGCTGGAATATTGCTAAAAGCGGCGTAAAACCATACTCACTCACTCACTAAGTTTTCGAAGATTTTTTAAACATTTTTTCTTCCTTTTATGTACCCATGAGAACAGCATGTTCAATTTTGTAAATACCTTTGACAGAGATTGGCCACAGCATGGAAAGTTTCTAGACAAATGGGTTTTCAGAATTAAAATTGGACGTGTTAAAGGGATTCATCGCTTTATATATTCTCCCTCTTCTCCCTTCTGCTTCATCATGTGTGGCCAAGTGTGTCCGCCACATACATCAGCGACCTTTTCACAAGGCTACTTTCATGTCAAACTTTTAAAGACGCAACATCATCGTCATTTTAGCATGCTATGCAAGTTTTGTTAAGGATTGCTGATTTATGATCTACCTCGACATGCACTTTCGTACCATCGATATAGTGTTCAAACCTTTCCATGCCAACCACAACAGATAACATCTCCTTTTCAATCTGGGCGTAATTTTATTCAGATGTTGTAAGATGTTGAAAGAGCTTGTGAAGCATGTACCACAGGTAGTCCTTAAATGAGAGACACACCCACGAATCTATTTTGTGAAGCATCACACTGTATTTCGGTTTGACCAGAGCCACCAAAGAACTTCAAGACTGGTGGTTCAGACAAGATATTCTTCATTTCCTTAGGAGACATTCCATGAATGTGTTCATCCCACAAGAAGTGATTACCATCAATCAACAACGCACATAGTGGTCAAGTGATTTGACAGATTTGGTGCAAACTTCTGAAGAAAGTTTACCATTTCAAGGAGACGTTGCGCTCATGCTTGTCAGTTGGTGCAGGCATTTTAGCTATTGTCTCTATAAGAACTGGGACCAAATTTGAAATGTTTGATTGGCATTACTTAGAAGTTGACGGATGACAAAGTAGACACAATATATTGATAACAACTTCTTTAATACTGTAAAGGCAACGTTTCGGTATAGATCCTTATACCGTTGTCAAGCAAGACTATCCAAATTTGCTGACCCGGAATCGAGTACCCATTACTGTTATGGATTTAGAGTTCTTCCCCTTATGCTCATATCCCCGTCATCAACAACGGCTGAGAATACGAGGAAAATATTAATGGAGATAACTTGATTTTTCCAATAGTCATTATTAACGCCAAAAAATATTTGACAAAGAGAGTTCAGTTTCGAGAACAGCTATTTTCACCTTTGCGCAGAAACTACTTGACCATATATTTTTATCATTGCATCGATGTTGTTAATGAAGAAAATTCACTTGAAAGATCTTAAATAAATCCGGGGATTTAGTATTGAAAAGTTACATGTATTAATACTGCAGTTTCAAAGACCAGTTCAATAAACAAAATGATAATAGTGTATATATATCGAAAAAAGAAATAGTTTCTTATTTTAATACTTAATAGTATAAAGACCAGTTGTACACGGAAAAAGTTGCATTGGCGCCTAAAAGGTTTCCAACGTTGAGCTTGTTTGTGGGACTAGGCCCACGAGAGTTTTGCGTCACACTTAACCCATTATACACGCCTCCAACTCACAAAATTGGGAAGAAAATTATCATGGCGATGTACGAGAACGAGAAAAAGATGCTAATATCCAAATTAAAATCACAAACAATGGCCTTTACAACCGACATGTGGACTAGGTTGAACACAGTGGCTTACGTTACTGTAACTGGTCATTACATTTCTGACGACTGGAAGCTGCAAAATGCAATGATGGCCACAACGGACCTCCATAACCAGCACACTGGGTTTAATATCGCAGAAGCACTGACCATTATTGCAAAGCAATTCCAGATTCACAAAGTAATATCACAGCGCTTCAAACATGCTGCAGACCAGCATACATCAAGCGTGAACAATGTTTTGCACATAAGCTGCAGTTTGCAGTCCAGAATGGACTGGACAGCACCGCCATTACGTTGCGTTCTTCAACAAATCAATTCCAGCATCAAATGCCCTAACTGAACACCAATAGAAGCTGGGCCAAAAAACAAAACAGT